CTCAAAACAAAAACAAAAACAAAACAAAACAAAACAAAAATTACTGGTAGTATTTTCATGATTCTTTTTGTTTGAGTCAGAGTCTCACTCTGTCACCCAGGCCAGAGAGCAGTGGCCCGCTATGGCTATCACAGCTTTGACCTCCTGGGCTCAGATGATCCTTCCACCTCAGCCTCCTGAGTAGTTGGAACTACAGGCATGCGCCACCGTGTCAGGCTCACTTTTTGATTTAGGGTAAAAATGAGGTCTTGCCAAGTTGTCTGGGCTGGTCTCGAACCCCCGGGCTTAGGCAAGTCTCTCACATCTGCCTCCCTAAGTGCTGGGATTACAGGCGTAAGCCACTGTGTCCAGCCATGATTCCCTTCAAACATGCTGAAAGTCATTTACTTTTTTAAAGTCTGTTTCAGCCCTCTGGACTTAGATCACTGACATGTTAGAGCTGAGCGCCATAAATTGGTTCTACCACACATATAACGGTTTTTCAATGTGAACTCATTTTAAGGCTGGAATTACCTGAGTGGCTGGCTAGCCCTCTCTCTAAGGTAGTCAATGATGAGTTTCATTATTTTTACCTATAAACCAATTTATACTACCTCTGCAGAGGTGTGGTGATTATAAGCATACTTTTTTTTTTTTGAGTTGGAGTCTCACCCTGTTGCCCAGGCTGGAGTGCAGTGGAACACTCATGGCCACCGAGGTCTTGACCTACTGGGCTCAGGTGATCCTTCCACCTCAGCCTTCCAAGAAGCTGGAACTACAGGCACATGCCATCATGCCCAGCTAAATTTTTTTTTTATTTACTGTAGGGACCAGGTCTCCCCAAGTTGCCCAGGCTGGTCTCACCCCTGGGTTCAGGCAATCCCTTGCTTCGGCCTCCCAAAGTGCTGGGATGACAGGCTTGAGCCACCGTGCCCAGCCTTAAGCATACATTTTTGGGGGAACTCATTAATGAAACCCACCACCAGCATGCTGCCTCTCAGTCACTGCATGGTACCAACCCCAGAGACATTTGAAGTGCTGAGATACAAGCTGAGGAAATTAACGGCACACTCTGCTTTTACTTCCTGGTATATTTCCTTGTGACTCTGAACAATACTCTTGGGGACCACAGCTGACAAATAACCGTCCACCTTAGTTGATGACTATGATGCAGTGAGAATTTAACAGTGTTAGCAATCATTTATGCTACAGGAAAAAAGGGCATTGTATTTTTCTCTTCCCTTATGAAGGGAAGAAGAAACAGTGCTTGGGCAGTCCGGTAGCAGTACATAAGAAAAGAAATCATTTCTTATTCCTTGCAAACCCTGATTTACAAAAGAACGCTGAAAGCTAAAAGCCTTGTTGATTTATCATGTGAAGCAAAGAGTAATTTTTCTCCCCTTGTTATGCTTTCATATAATCATGCTCACTGCCTGTATGGGTGGCGTTAAAGAATTTCTGAATAAAAATAATAATTTCTTGCTTTCAACCTTCATAATTCACATCGGCAAGCACCCTGCTGGGTGGCAATGCCTACTGCCAGTGACGCTCACCCTCGTGTGCATGCCACTTATCTGCCTGGCGCAGCTGTGCGTCCCATTGATCGCAGTACCTGCAGGATAATGCGTCCGTAGGCGTTCTTCAGCAGATTAACCACGTCTGTGTGAGACAGCCCGTCGAGGGGCTGCCCATTGATGCTGACAATCCGATCTCCAACCTGGAGGCACAAAAGTGGTCGAAAATCACTATCATTAGGAAAAATTAAATTTCGAGAAGAATGCTTAGAATTCTTTGCGAGTCATACTTCCCCTTCGTGGCTATTGTGAAGAGTGTGTGTTTCTACCATGTGCGCGTGTTTGAGAAGCATCAGGAATATTTTTGGCTTTCCCCAAATACAGGCCAATCAGAGACGCAAGAAGGGGGTCAGATTTGATGATGAAAAGGCACAGCGGGCCACTTTTGTGTTTCCGTAATGGTGATGTTTCATCCATCCACTTGCCAGTAATAGCGGGGTGTACAAACTAACTGTTCAATAAAGCTCTAATGATGAAGCCAAATATTTTCTGCTTTATTTTTCTACCTAAGTCAAGATTAAGGCCAATAGAAAAAAAAATCATAAAAATATCAATTATTTTGAAGGAAGTCACTAAGGCCAGATCTTGGTTGAAAACCAATTTTGAATGGAATGAAATGCTTAAAGGGATATGGGAAGGTTTGCAAAAGAGCTACAGTTTCTTTTATTGAGAAGCTTTAATACAAACAATAATATTTTTATATGCCCAGGGACCTAATGGATTTTGGGTATAAAGTTTCTCTAATGCATCTTGCCCTCAGCATGGGTCTCTGAGGGCCATGGGAACTCCAGCTTTAAACAAGACCACGGTGGCGGCAACCTCTTCTCCACCCACCACATGCTGTTAGCACGCCAGCCAGTTCCCTCTTGTTTACTTTGAGCTTCTGTGTACGTGCAGCCACTCCGCTGGCCTGGATCATGGCAATAAATATAGGGATATCTCCTAAGGGACTTCCTTTTCCTCCAGCAATACTGATTCCAAGGGCATCACTGAGCTCCTAAAAAAGAAAGAAAACATCACACTTGGATATTTAATACAAACCAGCTGTCCCTAGATAGTAGTGGAGCAAAATCCTCCGAGATGCTGGAGGTCAGGATACCACTGGAGTTAAGCGCAGAGCCTTTGGAGTCGGAAAGATCTATATTTTGGTTCTAGCTCTTAATTAGTTGTGGGGTCTTGGGGAAGAAAATTAAAAAAAATTCTTTTTGAGTAAGACGCTCATTGTGTTGCCCAGGCTGGAGTACAGTGGCACACTCATGGCTACCACAGCCTTGACCTGCTGGGCTCAGGTGATACTTTTTCCTCAGCCTTCCATGTATTTGGAACCACGGGTGTGCAACACCACGCCCAGTTAACTTTTTGATTTACTCTAGAGACAAGGTCTCCCCAAGTTGCCTGGGTTGGTCTCGAATCCCTGGTCTCAGGCAATCCTCTTGCCTCTGCCTCTGAAAGTGCTGGATTACAGGAGTGAGCCACCACACCTGGCTTAAACATGATTTTCTTTTAGAGAGTTGCTCTCTGTTTGTTATTAAAGTTAAATAGCCTCTCAGAGCCTTCATCTTGATGTATAAAATGAGAAAAATGCTACATACTTGAGAGTGTTGGTCTGAGGATTAAATGAGATGATGTGGCACGGTGCTGGCCTATAGCAAAGGCTCAATAAAAGCCAAGAAGAGTTAAAAAAAAACAAAAAACAAAAAAAAACAGCACACCCGATGTGACTGCTTAGCTTACTGGCAAATTCTGAGGCAGACTTGGCAAGTATTCGCTCATATGGTGTTTACAATTAAACTGCCACACATACTATGCTCTTCTGGGTGTGAACAAACACACTTGGCTTTAGAAGACTGCATTAAAACAAAGGATCTGAAAGGACACACCCACTGTCCTGAAAACTTTGGAGAGAGAAGGAAAATGGGGCTGAAAACGTTCTCTACGTCGGACCCTGGTGAAGAGACCTGGCTCTAGTCCAGCCTCTTCCCACATTTGTATCATAGGATCACTATTTAAAAATCACTAAAAGAACAAGTGACAAGTTTGGGTTCTGGCACGGTGACATATGCACACAGTAGCACATTTCTGCCACTGGTCACCACTAAGATGTCTGTCAAACAATTACCTGCAGTCTCTGAAACAGAAAGAAACAAATGGGGGAGGGGGGAGGCCAGGCGTGGTGGCTCACGCTTATAATCCCAGCATTTTGGGAGGCCGAGGTGAGAGGATTGCCTGAGCCCATGGGTTCGAGACCAGCCTGGGCAACTTGGTGAGACCTCATCTCTACAATACAAAAAAAAAAAAAAAATAGCCAGACATGGTGGTACGTGCCAGTAGTTATAGCTACTTGGAAGGCTGAGGTAGAAGGATTGCTTGAGCCCAGCAGGTCGAGACTGTGGTGGCCTAGAGCGTGCCACTGAACTCCAGCCTGGGTGACACGCGTGCGACTCTAACTTAAAAAACAAACAAAAGAGTGGGGGGCGGTCAGAACTTGAAGAAATGCAGCCGGGGGTCAGTTTCTGTTTTCCTTTTTTCCTGACAGCCTTACCCTGAGGGTGATTCCCAGTCAAGGATCTGGAGAGGTGGGTAAGCTTCTAGAAGCCTGATAAGAACTTCATCTTTCTGGCCAGAGGAGCCAGAGAGGGCCCTGGTGGCTGGAGAGTAAGGGAAGAAGACGAAGATGGAGAGAGCTGGAGAAAGGGGGTTCTCTAGTTCTTTGTGTAAAGCAACCTACAAAACTCTCGGGCTCAATCCTGCATATGTGTGGGACAGCCCCAAGCCAGCACAGCCCAAGTGTGGAGAACTGAACTGAGATCTCAACCACCGCTCACAGAGGCAAGACGGAACTTGCAGCCTCAGCGTAACCAGGGTGATGGCTAAAGACCAGACATCAACATTCTTCAGTGTCTACACAACACAACATTCACTAGGTCCAGAACAGAATCCTAAACTGCTCGACAGGCAAAGAACCAGGAAAGTGGGACTGATTTTCTTAAGTTCTTTAGAACATGTAGGACAGCTGAAAACAAAAATTATACAGTCTTGTGATGGTGGGGTTCCCTTTTCTCTCTCGGAGATGAGGTCTTACTATGTTGCCCAGGTTGGTCTTGAGCTCCTGGGCTGAAGCGATTCACCCACCTGGCCTCCCAAAGTGCTAGATTACAGGCATGAGCCACCGTGCCTGACCAAGGGGGTTCACAATTTATATAGAGGTAAACATTTGACAAATATGATATAAGTGTCAGTGGTGGTTATGATAAAGGGATCTATATGGCGGCAAGGCTTCCATAGTTTTGTGGGGTTTTTAATTTTTAAAATTTTTTTGAGTTGGAGTTTTACTCTGTCACCCAGGCTGGAGTGCAGTGGTGTGCTCATGGCCACTGCAGTCTCAACCAGCTGGGCTCAGGCAATTCTTCTGCCTCAGTCTTCCAAGTAGCTGGAACTATAGGCGTGTGCCACCACACCCAGCTAATTTTTTATTTATTTCAGAGATGAGTTTCACTAAGTTGTCCAGGCTGGTCTCCAACATCTGGTCTCAGGCAATCCTTTTGCCTCGGCCTCCCAAAGTGCTGGGATTATAGGCTTAAGCCACCGCGCCCAGCAGAAAAAGGGCTGTGTCAGAAGTGAAATGTGAACTTCCGCAGTTTAAATTGAACTTCAGCACTTAAAAACATATACAACTCAGTGTAAGTCTGTTACAACTCAGTGAAGTTGCAAAATGGAAGAAGAACAAAATGACCACAAAAATCAAAATCACACAAGAATTTAAAAAACTTGTATCACAGACTGGGCACGGAGGCTCACGCCTATAATCCCAGCACTTTGGGAGGCCAAGATGAGAAGACTGCCTGACCCACGGGTTTGAGACCAGACTGGGCAACTTGGCGAGACCTCGTCTCTACAATAAGCCAAAAAATTAGCCAGGTATGGTGGCGCGTGCCTGTAGTTCTAGCTACTTGGAAGGCTGAGGTGGAAGGATTGCCTGAGCCCTGCAGTTCGAGGCTGTGGTGGCCCTAAGTGTGCCACTGCACTGCAGCCTAGGCGACAGAGTGAGACTCCAACTCAAAAATAAAAACAAAAATGAAAAAACTTGTATCAAGTAAGTAAGAGGAATTCTTCTCCTTGGGGGAGGGGGACTGGAATCTCACTCTGTCACCCAGATTGGAGTGCAATGGCACAATCAGGGCTCACCACAGCCTCGACCTCCTGTGTTCAGGTGATCCTTCCACCTCAGCCTCCCAAAGTGGTGAGGTTACAGGTGAGAACTACCATACTCAGTCAGGAATTAATCTTTATTATTAAAATTATCATTAGTGCTGCCATGTCATACCTATAAGACAGGATAATAGCAAATCTGGCTTGTCTTAGTCATAGGTAGCTTATATCCTGTTTTCAAAGTATTTGCATCTAACTTCTACTTTCTGAATGCATCAATAGTCAAGCCTTGCACGCAAAATAGTAAGATGTGTTTTATTAAGAAGTTTCTGCTTAGACCGTGTGTGGTAGCAGACGGTAGTAGGAACAGGCCTTGTGACAAAATCCCAGCACAAGTGACTGAAATGATTAAGGAAACACAGAATATTATTTTTGCTATCTTAGAATGAGGAGAAATTTATGCAATCATTTGGCTTTGTTTAAATCCATCATGATAATGTTTCCTTAATATAGCCATAATTATGTAAACTTGGTATATTTAACTTCTCTGTCATAGGAACATTTGACACTCTGGTTGAAAGTCACCGGGAACAAATAAAGCAGACTTAGTCAAAGCTATAGCCAGTAATAATAGAGGTCACCTTCTGGACTGTCATGAGCCTCTAGGTGCTATGGGTAAGTACATTAAATGCATCACCTCATTTAACAGCATTTGCCTTTGAGGTAAAGTAGTGTTATCACCCCCATTCTGCAGATGAGAAAATTGAGATCGACTTGCAAAATGGTATGGAGCTCTTGTTATGGAATGAATTGTGTCCCCTCTAAAATTCACATGGTGAGCCAGGCTCGGTGGCTCAGCCTGTAATTCCACGCCTTGGGAGGCTGAGGTAAGTGGATTGCCTGAGCCCGTGGGTTTGAGACCCGCCTGGGCAAGTTGGCGAGACCTCATCTCTACAAGAAATAAAAAAAACTAGCTGGGTATGGTAGCGCGCGCCTGTAGTTCCAGCTACTTGGAAGGTTGAAGCGGAAGGATCGCCGGAGCCCAGCAGGTCGAGGCTGCAGTGGCCGGGAGCGGCCACTGCCCTCCAGTCTAGGTGACAGAGTGAGACTCCAACTCAAAAAATAAATAAATAAATAAAATAAAATTCACATGGTGAAGGCTCAAGTACCAGTGCCTCAGAACATGACTGTGTTTGAAGATAGGCCTTTAAAATGGTCAGGCGTGGTGGCTCAAACCTGCAATTCCAGCACTTTGGGAGGCTGAGGTGAGAGGATTGCCTGAGCTCAGGGGCTTGAGACCAGCCTGGGCAACTTGAGGAGACCTCGTCTCTTCAATCAATGAAAAAAATAAGCCAGGCATGATAGTGCATGCCTGTAGTTCCAGCTTCTTGGAAGGCTGAGATGGAAGGATCTCCTGAAGGTCAAGGCTGCGGTAGCTGTGAGCAGCGTGCCACTGCACTCCAGCCTGGATGACAGAGTGAGACTCCAACTCAAAAAAAAAAAAAGAAAAAAAGCCTTTAATAACAAGCATGTTTTTGACCCAACAATTTCATTTCTAGGAATTAATCCTGAGAAAATTACCCATCATATGGGCAAAAATGGAAAAACACAGATATTTTACTATTAAAAAATAGCAAAAATTGAGAAATATGCTAATTGTTCAATAAGAGAAAGTTGGTTAAGAAAATGATAGCCCATTCATGTGATGGAATATTATGCAATCACTAAAAGTCATGTTATATGCTGTCAGAACATACTTATCATTTTTTGTTTCATAAAACTTAAACACACACATGCATAAAATATAGCAGACGGGATTTGCCAAAAAAATTCATAGTGGCCGTCTAGGTACTCTGTTGTGTTTTTCTAAGTCTGTTCATTAATGCCACATAGACCGTATTTTACTACAGTCATTTGAAAGACCACACTCACAATCTGGTATATTGCATTAAGGGGAAAATGTTCTCTGTGTGCAAATGTAACACAAACCAGGATGAATATTGTAAAATAACTGACTCACCCTGATGATCTCAACAGTCCTGGGTCCCATATCTGTGCCTGTAAAAAAAGAAGGGATACAATTCACCTTTGAAATTAAGAGATGATACATTTAAGAATATAATATCATCCCATGGAAATGGTATCATTTTCTAGGTCTTTGAAGAGAGGACACAGAAGCAAGCAGGCATTACACCCTTTCTCCACATGCACGCTGGCAGCCACAGCAGCAGGGGCCACGTCCTCTATTCTAAAGCAGACCTCACTGGAGATACATGTGGTCACACCATTTAGTCAGAAAAAAGCTGATTGATTATAGGAGCAGCTGCCTCGAACATGGTGATTCAGTGCTTGGAGAGTGAGCCATTTGTGGTTTTTTTTTTTTTTTTGAGTTGGAGTCTCACTCTGTCGCCCAGACTGGAGTGCAGTGGACGCTCCCAGCCACCGCAGCCTCCCCCTGCTGGGCTCCGGCGATCCTTCTGCCTCAGCCTTCCAAGTAGCTGGAACTACAGGCGCATGCTACCACGCCCGGCTCATTTTTGATTTATGTAGAGATGAGGTCTCACCAAGTTGCCCAGGCGGGTCTCGAACCCACAGTCTCAGGCAATCCACTCACCTCGGCCTCCCAAAGTGCTGGGATTACAGGCTGAGCCACCGAGCCCAGCCACCATTTGTGTTTTATTGTATATTTTTCTGCCTCTATCCAGCAAAAGACTTACAAGACCCCCTCACTCTTCTGACCTGTCATTTACTGATTTTCTCTTTGTAAATAATTTTACTGGATGATGTACTCCAGATTCCTGCTTTTCTGTCTTGCATGCGATTTGCGTACTGTTAAAGGTACATCCAAAAAGGAATTACCATGCCCCTCCTTCCTTCAGAACAGCCTTTTCAGAAAGCTTGTGGTATATGTGGCCAAGCTCCAAGATTCAAGACATTTTAATTGGTAATGAAAAACACTGTTTTTTTCAAACTACCCTAGCTATTTTTTGTTTTTCTTGAGTCAGGTCTCACTCTGTTGCCCCGGCTAGAGTGCAATGGCATGGTCATGATTCACCACAGCCTTGACTTTCGGGGTTCAGGTGATCCTTTCACCTTAGCCTCTTGAGTAGAAGGCTACAGGCATGCACCACCATGCCAGGTTAATTTTTTGATTTATTTTAGAGATGAGGTCTCGCTATGTTGCCCAGGCTGGTCTCAAACTCCTGGGCTCAAGCAGTCCTCTTTCCTCAGCCTCCCAAAGTGTTGGGATTATAGGTGTGATCCACCATGCCTGAACACACACACACACACACACACACACACACACAATTTTAATTTGGGTAGCAAAATGGCTTTTTTGCTGGGGGTGTGCCCATGTCATACCTGCATTTTTCTGGGAAGGATCTGAAACTCTTTTTGTCCCGACCAGGTTCTGCAGGCTGGCCATGACTGGAGCAAAGGCAGGACGACAGCTGCTGTGTGTGCTGTGCTGACTCCCCTGAAAAAGAGACCCATTTGTCACCTGTGCATAGGCACTGACTTGGCCCTAAACATTCATACTTATCACTGCATTCCAATGGCTGAAGTCATCACCATCTAACAGAAGACTCTGAAGAGGCCAAGAAAGCACCAAACTCACCCACACTGATTCTCTCACCATCCAAGCCAACACCGTGTAAACATTCCCTCTGCTGATTTCTCCATCATATGTGCTTTTACACATGGTTCCAACCATCAAGGTAGAGAACATGCAATCATCTAAGCTGCACAGAAAATCAAAAACTCTTTCCTAGGTTGCCACAGGGTGTTTCTATATAGTCAGTTAATGAGCACTATTTGTCATCGGGCACTATTTGTCATCTGGGTTACAGTCAACATGTATTTCCTTATCAACCAGACTGTGTTATATATTTTGCTAAAACTAGTATAATAAAACCTTGGTTAACAGAAACTCGACCAAACAGAACTCTCAAGTATGGGGAAGAGCAGCAAACATCAAGGGGAAAAAAATCTTTTTAGGGATCTATAACTTTTTTCCCCTCAAAGATTTTTCCTAGAATCAGTAGCAATTTAGTCCAATCTACTGAACCTCCAATACCGGTCCTTTTATTCATTTAAATAAATATTTGAGGTCTACAGTGTGTAGTCATTTACACTTGTGGCGGATGCATGATTTTGTCCTACCAAGTTACCAAGGCTATGCCTAACTGCATTGACATTCTAAGCTAAGCCTAAGATCACTGTTATCAGTAGAGAAATGAGAATTTGCTAAGTCCATTTCCTTAACCCTGTGGTGTAAGTTGTTTAATATTTTGACACTCCTTAAATATGGAAAATTTCAAGTATACAGAAAACTTGAAAGAATTTTACAAGAGACATCCATATACACACCACCTAGATTTCACAATGAATATTTTGCTATAGTTTCCTTTATCACATAGCCATTCGTCTCTCTGTCACTCATCTTTTCTTTTTTTTCTTTTTAGAGTCGGAGTCTCACTCTGTCGCCCGGACTGGAGTGCAGTGGCCGCTCCCGGCCACCGCAGCCTCGACCCGCTGGGCTCCGGTGATCCTTCTGCCTCAGCCTTCCGAGTAGCCGGAATGACAGGCGCGCGCTACCACGCGCGGCCGATTTTTTGATTTATTGTAGAGATGAGGTCTCGCTGCCCAGGCGGGTCTCGAACGCGCGGGCTCAGGCAGTCCACTCACCTCAGCCTCCCAAAGGCGCGGGACTACAGGCTGAGCCGCCGAGCCCGGCTTGTCACTCATCTTTTAATTATTATTATTTTTTCTTTTTGAGTTGGAGTCTCACTCTGTCGCCCAGGCTGGAGTGCCGTGGCATACTCATGGCCACCGCAGCCTCCACCTGCTGGGCTCAGGTGATCCTTCCATCTCCTCCTTCCAAGTAGTGGGAACCACAGGCGCACGCCGCCACGCCCAGCTAATTTTTTTTATTTATTGTAGAGACAAGGTCTCGCCAAGTTGCCCAGGCTGGTCCTAAACCCCTAGATCCAGGCAATCCTTTTATTTCCACCTCCCAAAGTGCTGGGATTACAGGCATGAGCCACTGTACCCGGCTACCTCACCCATTTTCTAACACCGATAAGGCAAAGGAAGTAGCTCACAGTTTTCCAGAAGCACCTGTGTTCTAACCTTAAGATCAGAGCATCTTCCAAACAAAGGCCTTGGAGATGCTTCAATGTAAGGCAATCAGGGAGGGGACCAAAAGTTATGCTTTTAACCTGAAAACAAATGCCTTCTGGTAAACCACAGAAGAGACTAAGGGGTCACATGTGAATTTCTGTAGTTTCATTATGTACCAAATGATACTAAATGTAGATAGTCTACCATCTTGATTTTGTCAGCCATTACAATGGGAAAAAAAAACAGTGAAATACTTCGCTAAAGAAAAAAAGGTGGCACTTACATCAGCCTTGCAAATAAACATACGATGTTCGCTAACCCACAAAATATCACCCACTAAGGCCTCCCTCCCACATGAGTGATCCCCACACTTCGTTCTCCTAGGAATAGACCATTAATTGCTCTCCGCCTGTGTGAGTGGCTAGTCACAAGTTAACTTTACAGCAATAATTAATTGAATGAATGGAACAATGTTGTGCTAATGAGGGTCAAACTGCCACCAGATGTGGCCTCTTTTTTTCTAAATAAACACAGCTGTGTACATGCGTGTATAGGCAATATAGAACTAAGAGTGGCAGAGAAAAGTGGGTTTTAAAGAAACATTTGCAGGCAATAAAGGAGAGAAAAATCTAGGGATTCATGAATTTCTATCCCCCCTTTCATTTTTATTTCAAACACATGAACGTACACTGAACTTGGTGCTCTTACTATGCTGTATATTAGACATTGTTGCCAAACAATCGTTTATGAAATGGGGGAACTTCCTCCCAACGGGGGAGGGAGAGTGAGTTGGTCTGAGGGGGAGCCATCGACAACCTGACTGTCCTGTGACGTCTTCCTCACGGAGGCCCAGGAAGCAGCCCGGAGTCTTCCAATCTCTAGTTGTACAAGCCCCTGTGCACACTTGGGAGGGCAAGAACAGAACAGAAATGAAAAGCAGTAGCATGGATATTCTAAAATATCAAAGCAGAGCCTCAGCTCATCCCTACAGCCATAAAATTACAAAAGGGTAATGAAAGCCACAAGCAAAAAAGATGATTCAGTAATCCAAAATGAAACAAAACTTTGGAATCCCGACATCACATTCATCTCATGACTTTTCTTTATGTTAAAAGGAGTAGATTTCAGGTCACCTCTTTTCTTTCTCTCTTTTGATGAAAGTATTCACAAACAGCGAAATAATTAACAAAAAGTGGTCAAGAGGAAAGAAACATCAAATGAGTAGATAATCTACAAATACACATTCTCTCTTGGGTAATAACCGATAGCTGCCTATAGCAGGAAATCAGAATTTCAGAACAAAATTTACTTGTCTTTGCAAAAACTTCCATGGCCATGTGTACAATACAGAACAAAAATGTACCTAGTTTAGTTGGATAGAAATTTACAAAAATTTTTCCTAACCAATTTCTTCCAAGGGAAGTAGGATCTGTGTGGCAGAGACACTTAGGAGTGAATTTTGAAACTTACCATCTCGATGCCTTCAGAAAGATAGCTTGGAAAGTAGGAAAACCACTCAGGCAGATCCTTCCTTCCCTCCTTCCTCACTCCCTCCCTCCCTCCTTCCTTCTAGTAGGAGTCTCACTCTGTCACCCAGGTTAGAAGTGCAGTGGCACATTCACGGTCACTGCAGCCTCGACCTACTGGGCTCAGGGGATCCTTCCACCTCAGTCTTCCAAGTAGCTGGAACTACAGGTGTGTGCCACCACACTCGGCTAATTTTTTTGATTTATTGTAGAGACAAGGTCTTGCCAAGTTGCCCAGGCTGCTCTCAAAGCCCTGGACTCGGGCAATCCTCTTGCCTCTGCCTCTCAAAGTGCTAGGATTACAGGCGTGAGCCACTGTGTCTGGCTACCATTCTACTTTTCAAACCTCATTCATGAAACAGAGGAATTGGTCAAGATAAGTTTTAACATTCCTTCAAGTAATACGGGCTAGATTTGACAAATTCACAACCACACACTCCCTGACATAGCCCTAGAGGGGGGAGGATGCATTCTGTGACCCTGGAGAGTCCATCCCATCAAATGCATTTAGAGGACCACCATGGACACTTGGAATTCTCACAGGGATGAAAAGCTGTCTTGGAAATACCACAGCAGGTTCCCTTCAATTCTGCTAGTCAATGTACCAGAACCTTCTTTTGGAGCTAAACCTGATGATTTAAAATATCCAGAGATTAAATTTCTGGCAAAAACTAGAGTCAGCATAAAACCCCACCATTTTATAATCAAGCTGGATTAGAACAGCTCCCATCTGACTAGAGCGTGCCGGCCGGGCAGAAAGCAGCCCAGTGACTCACCTTCAGGACAGCGGCCACAGTCTCCTGTGAGGCATTTCTCATGTCCTCCTCATTCACAGACAAGATCTGATCTCCTTGAATCAACCTCCCATCCAGGTCTGCGGCTCCACCTTTCACGATGTCAGAAATAAACACTCCGCTTCCATTTCTATTAATATCAAACAGCAGTGGGTGTTGGCACAACCTAGTATCTCCAAATATGATGCATATGTGTGTGTGCTGGAGACACGCATATACACTCCTTTCCCCCTCTGTTGTGTTTTCTTTAACTTTGCTTTTTTCCATTTAATATACCTTGCTAATTGGTCTTTGTCAGCTCATAATTTCACTTACCAGTAACCTATTGATAGACATCCCATTCTTTAGCTACTATAAACAATGTACAGAAGATATCTTTAAGTATATCTTTAAAACAGATTGCTAGTGATAAAACTGTTAGAGAAAGAGAACTGTGAATTTTTTTTTTTTTTGAGTCTGAGTCTCACTCCATCATCCAGGCTGGAGTGCAGTGACATGCTCACAGCCACTGAAGTCTGAACCTGCTTGGCTCAGGCAGTCCTTCTGCTTCAGTTTTCCAAGAAGCTGGGAATATAGGTATGCACCACAATGCCTGGCTTGCTTGCTTATTTATTTATTTATTTTAGAGATGAGGTCTTGAACTCCTGGGCTCAGGCAGTCCTCTCATCTTGGTCTCCCAAAGTGCTGGGATTATAGGCATTAGCCACCACACCTGGCTGAGAACTATGGATTTTGAGAGTTACTCATCTGATTCTTTGATTCTTTACAATGCAGGTTTTTGCGGTAGGGAATGTACCTGTTCTTTACAAATTCAACCTGAAATACTAGTGTTGTGTGAAATCATCTTATCAATCCACCAATAAAGCAAAAATGATTACTCTCAATGGAATGTCTCCAGGCATACGCATGCGTCAAAACAGAAAACTTCAACCTTGGCTCTGTCAGTTGTTCCACATCCAGACGTGCATTGATTTTTGTTTAGAAATGTAAGCAGTTTGGCTTTTTTTGTTGTTGTTTTGCAATGCATTTTCAGAGTGATGGTTTTAGGGCATTGAAGTATAAAAACGGGATCATGACAGCACACGATATGGCATAAAATCAGTACTCAAAAATGGTAGCTGATATTTTTATTTTAATAGCAGCTTGGATTGCTGAACAAAAGCACTAGGCTTGTCATCAGAGGTCTGTGAGGGCCCAATATCACAACACACACAAAACCCCTGAATTCCTTGCAAGAAGGTATCGGTGCCATGTTGGAAATTGCCTGGGAATCATGCAGCCCTGGTGTTGAAATAAACATACTAGATGCTGAAAGCCAGTAAGCCATGAAAGCTGCACTTACAGTGTCAAGATATTACTTGCCTTTCTAATTCACTGCAGGATAAATTTACTAATAGTATCTTGGGACAGTTACTGTAATTCCTATCCCATAGGTAAACAGGACAGACTCCAAAAAAGCCGCCTAGCTCCCAGGAGCTACCCACCTACATTTTTGGTATTAACTGTTAGTTTGGCAATATTTTTCTTTTCTTTTTTTAGAGATGGGGTCTTGCTGTGTTGCCCAAGAGGCTCAAGTGTGGCGGCTACTCACAGGCAGGATTATAGCACACAGAGGCCTGAAATTCTTGGCCTCATGCAGTCATCCCCCCTCAGCCTCCTAAGTAACTGAGAAAAAGGGACATCTTTCTTACCAGAAAACTACTGTCGTGAAGAATGTGTGTTTGTCTCTTAACTATGCCTACTCAATTAGTTTTAACACAGTATAAAATTAACATGGCATTCCATGCCAGAGCCATTTTCTTGATCCAGTATTGTATAAATCTCTCTCCTGATAATAGCTGTTTCTTGGGCGAGGTTGCTTTCATGAGCCACTGCAAGCCTCACATCTAGGTAATTCCAAGTTGAAAGAACTTGGTAGTCTATAAGAAAAGGATTGGCAGTAGTGGGAAACTGCCAGGGGAGGGAGGGGCACACCTCATCAACAAGGGTACCTGCATAATGAACACTGTATACCTAACCCTGAATTGTAGCCCACATCTTTAAGACAAAAAATAAAAATAAGAAAAGAAAGAACTTGGTAGTTATTCTTACTCTAAAAGGAAATAGGAGTCTGGATTGATGGGTTTGGAGTTTTATCATGACATAACAAGTTTTTGGTAAGACCTTGCTCAGAAATACGGCCTACATTGTCCGAATATTCATCAACATCTTAGCTTTAGAGATCACTGGTTTGCATTAGGCCTCATCTTTCAGTGCTCATAGGCATTGAACCCTGAAGGAAGAAGGCAGCCCCTGCCTTGCAAGCATGTCTTTACCGTTTCCCAACAATGCTCAGGCCCAGGCCTCGGCCAGCTCTCTTCTGCAGGTCCACAGGGAAAATCTCCAAGTTCTCCTCGTCCCTGTAGTGCGCCTCATCTCTGTACACCACCAGTCGCACCTTCTGGGGGGTCTGCCTCAGGGCTGTGATGGCTTCTTCGTGGCGGGAGTTCCTCAGATCAATCCCATTAACCTGGAACAACAGGCATCCCGAGATGGGCTGCTGACAGCTCGGCCTGCTGGAGCGCCTCGATCGGGTCAGGAAAGAAGCGCTAGAAATTATCGCAGCATTGTTCACAATAGCAAGATCATGGAACCAACCATGCTGTCTGTCAAAAGAGGACTGGATTTAAAAAATGGGGTACATATACACAATGGAATATTACGCAGATATAAAAAAGAACAAAATCATGAATTTTGCAGCAACCTGGATGGAATTAGAGTTTATAATACTGAGTGATCTCTCACAGAAACAAAGATCTGAGTATGACATGTTCTCACTCATAAGTGGACCTTGAACTACTGCAATACTATAAGAAAAGGATTGACAGTGGTGGGGAACTATGGGGGGGCAGGGAGGGGAAGGGAGGTGGGATTAATGGGAGTCCATATCTGTCTGGGGATGAGGGGGCACACCTCATCAACAAGGGTACCTGCACAATGAATATTTGTATACCTAACCTTTAACTGTACCCCACAACTTTAAAATAAAAAATATATATTAAAAAAAGAAAAAAGAAAGAAAGAAATTCCAGTCATTCCCAAAGCACACAGGGAGAGACCTCTGGCAGGATTAGCTGCTTCAGATAGGAGGAGGTGACTCTCACAGTCCCCTACCCACATCAGCACAGAGGGTGGATGAGGACACACAACCATGCAGTTTGACCCAGCCATGGACTTTACAGGATCAACGAAAGGGAGAGAGTATGAGCAAGGGTGGGCACACACAGGAACTAAGCAGCTCATGTAGCTGGGATCAAAGGGAATAACGATTGATGTTGGGTTCGCGCTTTTAGATTTAGTTTGCTTATTGGATTTGACATCTTCACTCTTAATTGCTCACATCACAACCACTCTAGAACAGGCCCAGAAGGAAATGAGGGATCAGCATTTCCAATAGAGGCAAAGAGCCCCCTGAAGTCTTCTCCCTTGAATATGGATCCCAGCGAGCACTGATAGGCCCACGCTTTAGAAAGCAATGTTCTGAAAACAGCTCTGAGTGCAGCCACAGCTCTGCTTCTGTAAGTCATGTAAACTTGGGCAAGTCACATAACCTCTCTGAACCTCTTGTTTCCTTTCCTCTTTTTTGTTTTTTTTTGAGTCAGTCTCACTTTGTCACCCAGGCTGGAGTGCAGTGGCATGATCACGGTTCACCATAGCCTCGACCTTCTAGGCTCAGGTGATCCTCCTTCTACCTCAGCCTCCTGAGTAGCTGGGACTACAGGCGTGAGCCACCACACTTGGCTATTTTTTGGGGGGGTAGAGATGAGGTCTCACTATGTTGCCTAGGCTGGTCTTAAGTGATCCTCCCAAAGTGCTGGGATTACAGGTGTGAGCCACTGTGCCCAGTCTCCTTTTCTGTTAAATGGAGATTATAGCCATATTATTTATTTGTTTATTAAAAAAGTTTTCCTTTTATTTTTTGAGTTGGAGTCTCACTCTGTCGCTCAGGCTGGGGTCCAGTGGTATGCTCACGGCCACCACAGCCTTGACCTGCTGGGCTCAAGCGATCCTTCCACCTCAGCCTTCCAAGTAGCTGGAACTATTGGCACATGCCATCATACCGACTAATTTTTCTTGATTGATTGTAGAGATGAGTTCTCACGAAGTTGCCCAGGCTGGTTTCAAACCCGTGGGCTCAGACAATCCTCTCACCTTGGCCTCCCAAACTGCTAGGATAATAGGTGTGAGCTGCTGCGCCTGGCCTATTTGTTTATTTTTGAGCTGGAGTCTCGTTCTGTTGCCCAGGCTCAGCCTTTCAAGTAGCTGGGACTACAGGTGTGTACCACCATGCCAAGCTAATTTCTTGATTCACACAGTATTGTAGAGAGATGAGGTTTCTCCATGTTGCCCAGCCTGATCCCGAACTCCTGGGTTCAGACAATCCTGTTGCCTCAGCCTTCCAAAGTGCTGGGATTTCAGATGTGAGCCACCACACCCGGTCCAAATTACTTATTTTTTACTTAAATACTTCTATAGTGCTTGTATGCTTGTTCTTTATGAATATTTACTCATGGAATCCTACTAACTGTCCAAAATAGATACTGTTATCAGATGAGGAAACTGAGGCATGGAGAGGTTTAGGAACTTGGCTTAGGTTACCCAGCTCGCAGATGGAGAAGCCAAGATTTAAACCCCAACAGTCTTTTCACTCTAGCTCCATCCTACCCTGCTTCAAAATTTACTCTTAGAATGGCTTATTGGATCCCCCTGCCACAAAGTACATTAACTATGAATGTTGGCTAGTGAATTTGACACAGGGAGAAATCAGGGAGCAGAGTTGCCTTGGACTCAAAGGAAGGGAGTCAGAGGTCATTTTCTCAAGGTCACCGATGGGCAAAAAGCCAAACAAAGGTTAGGATGGGGCGAGGCCACAGCCAGGCGGATGGCAGAATAGGTGAGTTTCCTGAAGATGCTGGTTCCACTCCTTGTTCTGGTCTAGCCCTGTACACCCTATGAAAACTGGCGATAAGAATGTCATCTATGAATTGGAGATGATAATATATACTTAGTCCTGTGAAGATAAATTAAACAAACTCTGTAAGGCATCCTGGCAGGAGGAAGCAGCCAAGGCTGGTTTCTTCTTAGCAGGATCATTGGCTGCTACTTTAGGCCAATGAATGCATTCTTATTGTCCAGATGAACTCACAGAACAAAGAGGAAACAATGTTTCCAGGAAATGTGGTCTGAGCTGATTATTTTCCTACATTCCAATAGATGGCACACAAGACCACATCTGCTACTCACTTACAAAGAAAATGGCTACCTTCATGGATTGAAGGTGAACTTTCTAAGCCTCTAAGTATTTTTTTTTGAAAGGCCCTAACAAATATACTTTTAATTGAAAACATTGTCATGAAACTCTAATGTAACAAAAGCAGTTTCTACAAAATTCCATAGTTAAGGTGCCCCCTCAGACCAGAACGATCTAAGTTCAGTTTCCATTTGCTCTTGTGCTTATCAAGAGGTACCGCTAAATGTGTGGAAAATCAAGAGTGAAATCTCGCTGCATGGCTAGAACATTGTGGAGAGAAACATCACCTAAAGTGCCTTCCAGAAGCACTGCATGCAATATTCAGGACCTTGATTACACAGGAGGAGGGGCGGAAAGAACAGGCCTCCCTATTAGAGACTAGGGGCCCCAGGAAGCCCCACTTGTCAATGGGACTGAGTCACATCCCAGAGTAGGTCGACCATCCGGGGAACCAGTGCTTGAGGAGGGGAGGAGAACCGGGCTAAGGCAACATTTCCTCAGTATTTTGCTCCACAGGGCAAATCAGGTATTGACTCTAGGCTTACTGCTCCCACTTGTACTAAGATGGAAGGAGATGAGGCCGTGGGAAGGGTAAGAAGTGGCACCGGCCTGCAAGGAGAACTAGAAAGAAGACAGAGACCGTGCTCACCACAGAATCATAAATCCTGCCACGCCGAGACATGGTTTGACTATATCTTTGGAAGGAAAACTGCTTGTCTTAATTTTAGCATAAGGATAGTATCAAAACCATGGAAGGCCAGCTTGCAGAACGCAGAGGACTCTCATGCAGAGAGGCCATTGTTTGGAAAAGCACCGATGGAGGGCTGCCTTGGCTCGTGGCCTCACAGTGTCCCCCCAAAGCTGGCCTGGCTTCTCAAGGCCACAGGTTGACTCTGCGTTCTCACATACTCATCAGCCACGCCCAGAAGCAGTCCAGATGTGGAGTCAAAAGCTGCTTGGAAAGGAAGAGTGTTCCTGGACCAAACTGAGAGCTGCATTTCCTAACTAGACTCATTATAGTCTCATGAACCAGATCCCGGCTGAGTAAGAGAGGAGCCTGAACTGGCCATCCTTCATGAGAAGTACAGACCACCATCCAGACTAGATCATATTATTCTGCCAGATGCCAGGAAATGGTTAACTCGATCTTCCTTTTTTTCTTTTTTTGAGTTGGAGTCTCACTCTGTCACCCTGGCTGGAGTGCAGTAGCACAGTCACGGTCACTGCAACCTTGACCTGCTGGGCTTAGGTGATCCTTCTGCTTCAGCCTTCCAAGTAGTTGGAACCACAGGTGTGTGCTGCCACGCCCAGCTAATTTTTTGATTTAATGTAGAGACAAGGTCTCACCAAGTTGCCCAGGCTGGTCTCGAACCCCTGGGCTTAGGCAGTCCTCTCGCCTCAGCCTTCCAAAGTGCTGGGATTACTGGCTTGAGCCACCACGCCTGGCCAACTCGATCTTTCAAATTATCTTCCCATTTACACCAAATTTGCTGTCCTCGTGGCCACCTTTACTGAGTGTTCACTTGTGCACGGATAGACTTTATAGACAACAGCAGCTACCGAGGGTCTATCTAAAACAGAGCCAGTCTTTTAGAAAATCTTTATTGAGGCATAATGGATATAAAATAAACTCTACATATTTAAACTGGACCACGTGATAGTGTTTGCCACATGTACAACTGTACTTGTGAAGCCAACACCACACTCAAGATAAAGAACAGATTAGATTAAGTTTCCAGTGACCATTATAGAGTAATCTGTGGACTGTCAGTATCAAGGCATATATGCATCTGTACTATTTTTAATATCTATTCTGTTCATCTTAAAAAGCCAATTATGATACTACCAACTGATGAGAAAATCTAGGGAGGGCAAAATGAAAAACAAAGACCCCTAAACTCCTGACCACTAAAAAACCATGCCGTATGCTAACGCAGTCAAGCCAATTCCCAAAGAGGCCTTGCTTATTTTCCTAACCCCATACACTTGCACCTTAATGAATGTACTGGGAATATGCCCTAACCCAATGATGAAGCACAGTAAAGGCCTACAGAGAAGCCCTGTGACTCAGTCTGAATTTAATTTGCCAGTCAGCCTGGCCCCTCCACTAACCCATTCTCGCCTGTGTTTCCTGCCCTTAATTATATCTCTGGCTTCATCTTGGGAGGCAGAAATGAACCACCAAAGGGAAAAATAAAATTCTATGATGTCATTTGTAATGTGCTATATTTAAGTTGCAAGGCAAAAATGCACATGCCCACCATAAAATGGTAACTATTCAATTAAATTCATCCAATGAAAGAAATAAATGTTGCCTAAAGGTTTCACACCATCGAGAACGCTCTTTAGTTCCACCTACCAGAACGCCTGGCATTGGCTTCGCATTCATCCGTTCCCTAGTTCAGTCACTGCCTGCTCTGGTGCTTTTTAGAAGGCTTTAACAACTTTGCTAAGCGAGAGTCAATTTGAAAAAGCCAAGTTAAGCATTTCAATTTTTAATAAGTACCATGTACCACCTGAAGGGAGAGGATTCTACATTTTCATCAACTCGAAAACCCTGGTGGCAAGGTCTGAACTTCCATTTGACATAAAGCTTTATTAGGATTAAGAAAATAATACTTAGGCTGCAATAAAGTCTTTAAAATATCGGGGAGAATGTTTGTGTGTATGTGTCTATATGTATGTGTTTTTAGGAGAGAGCTTACCAAGGTATAATGAAGAGGCCAAAAAAAAAAAAAAAAAAAAAATCAAATTTCAGTATTAGACTCATTTGATATTAAAATTCTAGAGCTGTAAATTGTATTTTTCTTTTTCACTCATGTGCCATTTGCTGATAATTTTCCTTTTAATTAAGTTTTCGGGCAGCCTCCTCGGGTCCCCTCCCACTGTGGGAGTTTTTCTGTCCTCTTAATAAATCCTGCTTTATTTTTTTTATTTTAATTTTTTATTTTTTGAGTTGGAGTCTCACTCTATTGCCCAGGATGGAGTGTAGTGGCACGCTCTCGGCCACTGCAGACTCAACCTGCTGGGCTCCTGCGATCCTCCTGCCTCAGCCTTCCAAGTAGCCGGAACTACAGGTGCGGCTACCACGTCTGGCTCATTTTTGATTTATTGTAGAGACGAGGTCTCGCCAAGTTGCCCGGGCTGGTCTCGAATCTGCGGGCTCAGGCAATCCACTTGCCTCGGCCTCCCAAAGAGCTGGGATTATAGGCTGAGTCACCGAGCCCAGCCATAAATCCTGCTTTAAAAAAAAAAAAAGGTTTTCACAGATAGACGTAGATGGATAATCTGGCATGATTCTAAACCCTTAAGCTGTTCAGTGGATACTGATGAAGAAAAGAACACGGTACATGATGTGTTAACTGGGAGAGAAATCAGTGACGACAGTTGAGCAGAGGACAGGTCAACCGACTTCGTGATCAAGGTCAGCAAAGGAACCACATTTACCAATGCAAAATTTGAAACCGTATACCTCTAATATTTGGTCACCAGCCCAAAGTCTTCCATCTCTGGCCGCTGCTCCTTCTTCATAGACTTCATGTATCACTATAGCATCCTAGAAAAACAAATTCTTATTAATTTTCAACAACCACAAATACTTCCCTAAGCAAACACCAAGCTATAGGCAGCAATTTGTAATCTCCTATTTGCTAACGACATTATAGCTTACTTGACATAACGAGAAACAAAATACACAATGATGATATATTCAGAGGCATAATTACATTTTCCTAAGGTTATTATTTCATTTCTTTAGGACTGGCTTTGCCTAATATTTCACGTTAAACTTCTTCCACGTGTCTTGCTGTTAATCCTGTTCATTGCTGCTGCGTATGAACTTGGGGTGAACTATGTGTCATTCTTAGTTACATTTTTATGGTGTATTTTGAAACACGGATTCAGGTATTTATTGGTACTCAAGGATTTGGCATAGATGTGTGGCCTGATTAAGGGGGTTTGCCAGGCCTCATTACTTGGGCAATGAAAGAAAATAACACAGTGGAATGAACCAGGCCTGGAGGGTTAAACATGGAGTAGGGGAAAGAGCATTTATGGGCCTGAGTGTAAGACATCTGTGGGTTCGAATCCTGACTCTGCCATTTTGTAATCTTGGGTAAATTAACTGCTTTGAACTCAGCATTCTGAGTCATAAAATTAGGACAATGATATCTGCGGTGGGTAAGCTTTGTTGAGAAAAGTGTTTCAAGGTTAATGGATTAAAACTAATTTGTAGGCCATGTGCAGTGGCTCATGCCTATAATCCCAGCACTTTGGGAGGCCGAGGCAAGAGGACTGCCTGAGTCCACGGGTTGGAGACCCGCCTGGGCAACTTGGCGAGACCTCATCTCTACAATCAATCAAAAAATTAGCTGGGTGTGGTGGCGCATGCCTGTAGTTCCAGCTACTTAGAAGGCTAAGGCAGAAGGATCACCTGAGTCCAGCAGTCAAGGCTGCGGTGGTCATGAGCGTGTCACTGCACTCTAGCCTGGGCGACGGAGTGAGACTCCAACTCAAATAATAATAATAATAATAATAATAATAATAATAATAATACTTTGTAGCTCTTAAAATTAATAAACAACATTTTTGTCATCATAGGAATAACATAGACCCATATAAAGAATTCAAGTAATACTACAGGATGTTGCAAACCACAAGAGACTGCCTCCCACCCAGACGCTCAGTCTTACTCTGCAAAGACAATTACTACTAAATAGCTCTCTCGACAACTTATATTTATAAACCCAAATATTTCTATATTTTGGTGAGATTATTCTAAAAACATCGAGTTTGCTCCCACTAGCAAGTAGTCAAGCTTTGAAATTCCTTGCCTCAGGGACTTTTCTGGAGCTAAACACTGAAGCAATCAGAAGTCACTGGCTCTGTTTTTAATAAAACTGAAGGGCACTAAAAAGATTATGCTGAATGAATTATGCTAGGTGTCTTGGAGGGCTGCTGGGAGAGGGAGTGAGCTTCTGAGTGGAGATTAGAAACAGGTCCACAGGTCGCACGGTGGGGATGTGAGTCTTGCAGTGCTCCGGGTCTTCCTATTCCCTGCTCTCAGCACAAGTGTGAACACACAGGCTTTAAAACCCTGCTAGCAAGGGCCTAGAGCAGACACCTCTGGGGCAGACTCCAGGAATAAGGGATCCCAGCCATGAAGGAAGTCCGGTGTCCCGAGCAACGGGGCCTGCAAGCGGCAGGACTTCTGGGCGTACAGAGATCATGAAGGCTGGGCAAGGACAAGCTTGATGGTGACCAGCGAGGACTGATGGCAACGCCCATGGGTGTCTCCCTAACGTTTGGGTGCATTGTCAAGAGACTCTGAGTTAACGAGCCACCCAAATGGCTAAGTTGAACTTCCCCTTAGTCTAGAAGTGTAGAGACTCGGAATTAATTTCTATATGGAGTAAAAAAAAATAAAAATTTCTTGCAAAACAAAAACAAACAAAAAATGAAATAGAAAAAAAGAACAAAACAAACCAAATCTTTCTTTTTTCTCTTTTTTTTTAAGAGACAGAGTCTTGCTATGTTGCCCAGGCTGGCCTCCAACTCCTGGACTCAAGTGATCTTCCTGCTTTAGCCTGGGAGTTGGGACTACAGGTATAGCCCCACAGTGCTTGGCTTTTTTCTTTTTGCCAAAAAAAAAAAAAAAAAAGGCAGGGCACGGTGGCTCAAGCCTGTAATCCCAGCACTTTAGGAGGCTGATGCGAGAGGATTGCCTGAGCTCACAGATTTGAGACCAGCCCAGGCAACTTGGCGAGACCTTGTCTCTACAATAAATCAAAACTTAGCCGGGCATGGTAGCGCATGCCTGTAGTTCCAGCTACTTGGAAGGCTGAGGTGGAAGGACCGCCAGAGCCCAGCAGGCCGATGCTGGGTTGGCCGTGAGTGTGCCACTACACTCCACCTGGACAACAGAGTGAGACTCCGACTCAAAAAAAAGTCCCTATACAAATTCCAGAGTAGCAAAGCAACAGAGGAAAATCAGAGGTCTGTACCTAGATAACTCATTTGGATTCTAAATACCTTTATATACTAACACAGTGCTTCATTTTGTCACTACACAATCCTGAGAACATTCGTTATCATAGCAATTAGAGAGAAAAGCCCTGAGAGTCAGGACAGGTTCCTTGATCGAGACAATTTACATTTCGGATTCTGTACAAGCCATAGATTTTAGACCACACTTTGTTTTAACTCTGATTTACAAAATTTCCAGACCCAGGGAGCATTTGCATTGCTAAGAGTTTGTCTCTCTGAACTGTTTCGGGGGAACGATTTGGAGGAGACTTGCTGGTCAGTGGCTTGTGGCCATCCTAACCACACTGTGACGTCCTGCCAAGGGTCATTTGCATCAAGGGAATGTGGATAGAAACTAACATGTGCGTCTGATGACATCCTGTGTGATAAGGCGGGTTTGCAAAATTTGCTGCTCAAACACCCATCTTCACTAGATTGGGAGAATCACACACTAAACCCAGACAACGTGTGGATTTTACAGAGTTTGATTTTTCAGTGTAAACTCCTTGAATCTCAGAACATTACAAAGCCAAAATGGAAAATTTCTGTTCATTTATACTCAAAAGGAAGGAAAAGAAGCCGTGAAGTTTTTATTCCATGAAAGTGGTCTGAATCCAAAACCCTTAGATACTTTCTGGTGCTCAATGAACTATCAGACATAAAGGAAACGTATGTCACGGTCTCAAATGCCAAACCCACTGCCAGGGACTGTATGAAAAGCTCCCCATCTCTTTCTTTTCTTTTGTGTGACTATTGCTGTGGTTTATCTGAAAGTTACCAGTGAAAATATAAGGAGACAACAGACGCTGTGACCTGTCGACAGAAAAAGGCCACATTCTGTACCGGGCACCGCTGAGCCGTACAAAGCTGGGGTTCTGGAAGGTTGCATTCACAGGGGTGATGGAGGTGAGGGGTGTGGGCTGGTGAACTGAAAATAAAAATGGGTTTGATGTATTTACTTTTGAGTTGGGGTCTCACTCGGTCACCCGGGTTGGAGTGCCATGGCACAACCACGGCGCACCACGGCCTCAACCCGCTGGGGTCAGGTGAGCCTTTTGCCTCAGCCTCCTGAGTATCTGGGACTACAGATGGGTACCACTACACCTGGCTCATTTTAAAGTTTTTTAAAGAGAGGATGTCTCACTGTGTTGCCTATGTTGGCATTTTTTTTTTTTATTTTGAGTTGGAGTCTCTCTCACTCTGTCGCCCAGACTGGAGTGCAGTGGCCGCTCCCGG